GAATGTAAATATGAAACAAAGTCAGTGTCTTCCAATTTAGTCTTCAATCCAGATACATGTATATGCAAGAATAAGAGTTTTATAATAGGAGAGTCATCACTTTTTAAATCATCTGAGTCTTGGTACGGGCCGCGGCCACACCCCTAGGTAGTACGGTCCTACTGGCTGCCCCTAGAGCTGGTAGCCCGACTGCGGATAGTGGGGCGCGAACTCCCCTCGTTCCTTGGTGGACTGTTGTTTGTGTCAGAGACTCCACCTCGTCTCCCACCCGAGACATTGATTGAAGCATGCGTAACCTGTTTGGGTGTCGACACAATTCACCACCTTTATAAAAGTAATATTAAGATTGATCTTCGTCTTTACATTTATTTAATTCTTGCCCCTGTTTCAAAGTAAAGTCCTTGGAAATGCAACATCCCTCTGATCTAAGGGAATCTCTTAAACTGAGAGACTTCATCTTATCCTCCCAGTGCACACGTTTAGCGATCACAGGCCGTGGTCTGTCAGTGCTACGTTGACCTATTCTAAGTGCCCGCTCAATGCAATGTTATTCTTCTTTCACTGAACCAATTTCTTTTAACAGTTTATCTTCGGGTGCTTTAATTTGTTGGATAATTGCAGAGTTCATATCACCCCAATCCTTACTAAATGGGCCAGGGTTCGATTCAACATCACCTGACAGATTTATTAGCAATGATACACAAGGACAGAACATGCGTACCCCACCTCTGTTCGGATTTCGATATGGAAACGAAGATGTGTTAAAAGTTCGCATCCATGATACTGAGTGGTGGATTTGTCAATATGTCACTTGTATACTTCATCTTATCTTCGATGATATTACCTGAGGTATATATTGAGAGAAGAAATACTGTGACAAGAGTAGTCGATACGCGAAAACAATCCCGGCTGACCATCTCGATGACGGCGAATACGGTTTGATTTTGTCAGTCTGCATGTGTCCTCGGGGCGGCACACAACATCCGATCCTGGCTGTTCACACGTCTATAGAGACCCCCATGTTGTCCAGATGTGCTTGATAAGGTTGGCCTAAGGTTCGATTTCAATATTTTTCAATTTGTTCGAGAGGCGAGGGAGCTAACTTTGAAATGATTAATAAAGTGTATGCTGTATTGAAATATTTGAACGAGAATGGAAGAGAAGTGGCCATACATATAGGTGTTCCTTTATAGTTTGAAACGTGACATTTACAACGGAGGTCAATAAAGGAAGACGACATTTTTTTTAGATGACTCGTTCAATAATGGGTGATGCCCTCGCGATTGGTCAAACATTGGTTTATACGGCGTGACATGGTCAAATCAAACTCCCAATGACAATTTGATGGCGTGTCTTCGTGAAGCGTGTGACGCAGTTCGGCTAACCGTTCGGGTGACATTTGACGTTGACGTACACAACTTTTGGTGCCAGTATGGTACTGTCTCCGTATTACTGTTGAGTGACCATCTTAACATGGACATAATGCTGTGACGTTCTCGCAGTCATAGGGATACAACCCAATACCATTACAGACCCATCCTCTCTGCCGTTCGCATGAGGTTCGTTGGAACGCCTCCAGACACGTCCACGCCAAAACTTAAAGTCCAGAGTGAATGGTACAACACGTTGTCGCTGAGTATTTTTATTCTAATCGTCTGGTCAGTAAATTTAACTGCGATGGCAGGTAAATGGCGATTTGATTGGCTGTTTGGGCTCGCTGTCTTAAAGCCTGTTTTCTTAACAATCGATCATGGGTTAGTTTTGTTCACATTAGGCACCATATCGGGGGTCGACTATTAAAGTTTTGTGTCTGCAGAGACCTGCTTCAAAGTCTGCAAATCACAGACTGAGACACATTGAACATCTTGGCTTCCTCTCACAGAGCTCTACCAGTTCGAAGCATGCCAATAGCCTTTAGGCGTTTCTAACACTGTAGACGACTGCATTAAAGCAAGAGCAGAGAGCTAAAGTGTTACTGTGGATAATGAAAATCAACAATACCAATGGCTAAAAGCGATATCACGACCTTTCATTGAAGTGAAAAAATAAAGAACAAGCAAACGTTTGGTGCGATCCATCAACACGGCGGCAAACTCTTTGTTAATCAAATTATATGTACAATAAAAGAATTTCGACAAAATATTTATTGAAGATATGCAAACGAATTATTGAGAAATTTGTTAAAGAAAACCCTTGCTCTAGCACACAGTACACTAAATGCACGATCTCGCATACATATCAGCATGAAATACTTACAGAAATGGTTAATTTAAAATTATAGCAATACATATGAGCGGTTTTAAAGAACCTAAATGGGTGACGTACATATATCACCCATTCCCCACCAAACTTGCCCAATTCTAATAAACAAAATATTCAGATTCAAAAGTCAGTATCTGGGTTGTCTACGTCCAACATTTCAGAACTCAGGCATGAGTAGTGTTAAAGTAACATGTGTCTGAACATGACAACTCAAGATAACACCGGTGACCTAAGTGATTGTTATGTTAATATCAAACATTAGTGGTGAAATAACATATGATTTCAGGTAGAATACAAAATTGTATTTTGCCTTCGGCTTTATATCACTTCTTTATTGAACTCATACACGTTTCAAGAAGTCCGATAGCTGTGATACAACGGTCTCCTAGAATTGAAGGAAGATGAAAACAACCTACAAACAACACCTCTTTATTATTACATCATTTATAAAGTTATGTGACCACAGAAATGGTTTGACACATGATATAACTAGCTGTACAATCATTAGCAAAGCTAATGTGATAAAGCAATTGCCTTCTGTTTCAATGCTGTCATAAGAAGAGACTCAAAAGACCGGTAACGTAGATAACAATAATAACCTACCCGTCTGTCCATTCACTACGTGGTCCTGTTCACCCTGCTTCCCTAACTTCCTTCTCCTTTAATCCTCATATAATGTCAGGATCACATTCCACTTACCATAATATAGCAAATAACTCGACGAGATCCAGCAATGATCAACCATCACTCCAAGGACATTAACACTTTTAAATAAGTTTCCCTCATGTTATATAAACTTCAAATCGTGTATTAACAGGTTATTGTCTCATTTACTTACCTTATGTATCCTTAAATGCCAGACAAGTCAACAGATGGATCGGCTTTAATATGGCAGTTAACTTTGACAGCATGTGTTTCTTCTCAGCACCAGAAAGCATGTGGTTGTCAACGGAAGCACTTACATTTGGCATGAACTTATCCCGAAACTGTGTCCAATCATTCTAATTCCAAAATGACTTCATTACGGATATCTTCGAAATGTTTGAGTAGTAGTAACGTAGCTTACAACCTTCAGATACTGGTTGCCCTGGGACACAATTTGTACATTTAACCATGCCACTTATTCCTATTTATTTCTATAGAGTTTAGTAGTAATAAAACCTACGTAGATTACGTGGGATTCAGCGATATTGTTCTAAGTGTTGTAACCTTTGTGTTTGACACAAGGGAGATATACAGGCTTATCCACCCTGTAAGCAGCGATATTGTTCCTACACAATTTCTTCAGTTAAATTACAACTATACCAAAGCTGTTGTGTTTTATATGAAGCGTATATTTTGCGTTTAGCTAGATGTCTTTACTTTAGTACATAATCGAGACTTGACCAGGCCAACCAGTAGTTTATACTGTAAGCCACGTTGGCTCGAAGGCACGCAATCAACCTATTTACCCAAGCTGATCACCCCACCCATAACGGCAAGCCTATATGACATTCCTTCATAAAATTATTGTAATGAAAACATAAAGAAATGTGTATACTATGTGTTAACGTTGTCCATGAAAGGACACATTCAGTCATGTCAGCTAAAAATGAATGAGTGTTATTGCTTGCCAATTTGTTTTCAAAATTATAGAATCTAAATTTATATCAGATAGGTTCAATACTTTGACAACACGAATACGCAAGCGCTGCTATAGCGGCTACATTTTACTGTAAGACGCGGGTTGAATATGGGTATACTTCTTGTGTGAAGCAGTTCTCGTGTTGATATGCCGATATGCAAACCTTCTAGAGGGGCACGTCTTGTTCCCGGAATGACACCAATTGGTCACAATAAGTCAAGAATGTCAAGAACCTTTGTGAAAAACTTCCCAGGTCACAAAAAAGTGCGATTTTAAGTTGAATTACTGAAAAAAAATCAGAAAATATAAAATGTGTATAGGAATGTGTTACGATCACCAATATATTTAGAAGGTTAAATCTGCGTACCAAATACGATTTATTTTGCGTTTCGCCTACAACACTGCTGACGTATTTAGACTAATCAGGGTCCTGCTTTCATCATTGTGACAAATTTTCAAGCACATTTTTAGACAAGAGTTTCGTTTAAAATACAACTGAACAACAAACACATAATGGTAAGGTGTAAAACATTGTATACAAAAACTGAATTGTCACAGAGTGGAATAGGTGACGCTTGTCGTAAAAGGCGAGTAAAGGGATCGGGTGGTCCGGCTCGTTGACTTGGTTGATACATGTCATCGTATCCCAGTTGCGTTGATTGATGCTCATGATGTCAATCACTGGATTGTCCGCTCCCGACTCGATTATTTGCAAACCGCCGTCATATAGCACGAATATTGCTGAATGCGGCGTTAAACGCCAAATTTAACGGAACCATTGAAACTGTTTTTAGTGTCTAGTTTTCATTTTGACATCACATATGCGATGAACATACCAAATAGTGTAAACTTTTGAGCATTATAAATTCTTCATGGTGTCTTCAATTGCCGTGTACGGTGTCATATTAGGTTAGCATGTCTCGCCCAATATTTTTCTGCTAACCTAATATGACGCCGTATACGGCAACTAAAGACACCATAAGAAATAATGTACCCCAAGTGATCCTGCTACAACTTATATTAACAACACCATGCAACAGAGACGTATTGTAACTTTGCTTCAGGTAAGGTTCAAATGTGTGTGTAATGTATATATAAATGCTTCTATTTGCAGGTCGGCGAAGAAGGAAACGGATGGTGATGGATTCAGTACGGCGGCTGTTTTTAAAGGAGTATGTCACAAGTCTTTGACAAGACTCTTGTGTATCATAAAACATGAAGAGTGCCATTCAGGTCCTTCTGTGTGGCTGTGATGGGATTCATCACTCCTTTTGCTATACCATTAAACACTTTTTTCAGTTCGTTTTAATATACTTACCGGGATATGATATCGCTCTTTCCATTTACACATATTCATACTGAGTCTACTGAACTACTGAAGGGAGTATATCAGTTAGCTTCATTGTATACCACACTACAGACTAGGGGCCGTTAGATTATTCACCAAGTTAGCTCGCCAAATTAGATACTCTACTTGTACTACATAAATATTTTATTTTCACTGTGTTATGTTCATCTGTTTCCCTTTGATTCTATTTTATTTAACATTAGCGACTGTCAACACGGAGGTGTTCTACGTCTCATTAAACTGTTCAAAATAAATGCTTGGTCACGATTCTTTGCGTGTTTTTTCTTTGATCAGATGAGATGACAAGAATTATTATAACAATGTGTCAGATTTTAAATACGCTGTCATTTTACCACATTGATCTCTGTATGGCCAAGTAAAAAGTGAAATAGAACAATTATTTTGTGCTGCTATTTAGTTTCCCAGGACAATATTGGAATTTCCTGCCACGTCCTCTATGTTTTGAGTAGCTGAAAATTTATATTACACATATTGTAATAATACATCACTAATAGGTATATAGTACGAGATAAGGCAACCGTGTCATTGTTTTGCACGCCGGAACCGATGATCTGGGGCTTATTGGTGGATGTGAGCTAGTTTTAGAGGCGAAAATGAAAACTGGTGATTATTATAAGGAAATGAATGGAGATATTTTCAAAGTCTTGTTGGAATATCAGCTACTGTCCAGTCTAAACAACCCAAGTTTCATTGCCATGGAAAACGCCAGTTATGACGCCTGGTAACCAGATACTGGGAAGTGTGAAGGCGACAATACAGGACTGTGACATCGGAAGCGAAAGTACAAGACACAATCACGTGTATCAAACCAGATGTAAGGCTGCAGATCACATTTTTGTAAACAGAGCGTCAGTACCGCCAACGTGACGGCGTACATATCAGCCTTGTTACACCAGTTATCGTACCTGTGGGTGATAGTACAGATTCAGATTGGTTATCAGCAGTCAGGTGCTGGCTAAATAAATCATATGTAGAACAACAAATACTCCTTGATTGAAAACCTCCAACCTTCCAATACTCACCCCGTTTCATAGCTTTTAATTATTCCATCATTTTTCCAAAAAAATATAAAGCAGTACATATCCTAATTGCTACCCCCGTCAAAGCAAATTTTCAGGCAAAGCATTGTCATCAGAAAGGCATTTTTGAAGCATTTCCGACATTACTTTAGGGACCATGGGACTTACCGTATTTCTTCTACCTGCATAGACCCCAAAAGAATTTACACCATCCCTCTAGCTGTTGTCGATTGGTGACAAGTTAAGTAGAGAAATAACACACATTCTACGATTAAAACAATGGTAGATATAAATATGCTTTGGGTGACATGGACGTACCACGCACAAGGTGCATTGAAGAGATTTTACTAGAATCTTAATACGATAAGGGTGTACTGCTTTGAAACTGAAGAGTGGGATGAAGGCATACACTTGTTTTCTTTTGCATTAAATGATTCAGTTTAGGAATGATTAAGGTTTAGTCCCTTAAATTTAGTCTTTTGTCACACGTTCAGAGGACTACTTTAGAAAGCATTTGAAAGAACAGTGGCTTTATGACAAATCATACTTGAATTGACTAGACAACGCGTCTACTTTCCGAGTTTGACGTCTGAGGGCTACTGAAGTTGCCAAGGAAAATTTTAAGTTATCGCAGGGAAAAATGATAGCACACAATGACCAAAAATCAAAAGATGGAAATTTCAGTCCTGGCCATAGGGTTTTGGTGTGTTACCATCACAAGTGAACCTAAGAGCTAAATGCCAAGGTCCTTATGAAAGTCAGTTAAACTGAGTTTACTGATCCAACTCAAGGCCACCAAAAACCAAAACGGCCATTTAAAGGTCCGTGGTGAATGTCCGAGTTAGGGACCGCAAGTAGGAGCAATCACATACCGTACGTCGTCGCCTCAGATGTGCAGGGATTGTCGCCAGAAGACCGCCAGACGTCCCATTTTGATAGGAAACCGCCGTCAAGCACCTCTACAGTTGTGCAGACAGCGTCTACGCTGGACGGCCATGCAGTGGGGACAAGTTCTATCCACTGACGAGTCTCGTTTTCACCTCAGCCACAGCGATGGACGGATTCGAGTGTACCGACGTCGAGGTGAACGTTATGTCAATCATTGTGCCATGGAAGATGATCGGTTCGGGGGCGGCTGCGTTATGGCATGGGGTGGGATTACAGCAAGACAGAGTACCCGTTTGATAGTGGTAGAGGGGAATCTCAATGGACGGCGCTACCGCGACGAGATCATCGGCCCTTTTGTTCTACCGCTTTTGCGTCATCATGGCCCAGGCATTACCTTTCAACATGACAACGCCCAGCCTCATATTGCTCGACTTGTTCAGGATTTTCTTCAAACAAAACAACGTGAATGTCATCCTCTGGTCGGCTCGCTCCCCTGATCTCTCACCAATCGAGCACATGTGGGATGAGATGGATCGGCGCCTTCGACGTCAACCACGAAACATGCTCCAGCAGATATGGACAGATATCCCACAGGACTTTGTGCGACGCCTGGTCCATTCCATGAGACGAAGATGTGTTGCTTGCATCGCAACCAGAGGTGGACACACACGCTATTGATTTGTAAATTGACATTTTGGCATGTTCATGGTTTTTTTTATGAAATCACGCATTTTCTAAAGTCAGTATGGCAAATTAAACCATTTGAACACTTACAGGAGTCTTTTATCTGTTGCAAACCGAAATTGTTTCAGAGTTGGTAAAAAACATAACTTTGAATTAAATCTTATTATCACAAGAACTTTTGATGTTCAGTATATAGTGACTGTTATCACAGACCGACTGACACATCACTTACGTTCTGAAGTAATATAAAATAATGCGCACATTCCTGGAAAACTTGTAATGTTTAGTGGTGAGATGCACTGGTACTGTAGCACATGTGTGAAGAGATTCAGAAAATAATTACACGATAATTAATCTCCTGCATTTTTCAGCTTTATCTTCATTATTTATGAATTCCTTCACTCACTCACTCACACACACACACACACACACACACACACACACACACACACACACACACACACACACACCTCTATCTCTCTTTTGTTCTTTACATTTTGGTGTATGATTTGATGAGGAAGAATGTTTAACTAAAGTTTCTCTTGGTTTATAATATCCAAAAATAGTAGGCGACATAGGGAAAATAAAAGAGAAATAGGGAGAAAAGGGAAATATTAAGAGGTATCAAGTGATAATGGATGGGTAAGGAAAGGGAGGGACTAGGTGTAACATGACAATCATCAAAACATGTTTCCGGTCTATTGTCAGGGTGCAAACAACCAAGAAAGAATACAGGGATGTGAAGTTAAAAATAAACGTTTGAGGTGATTTGATGAATAAGGGGTCCTGTCGCCACGATGGGTCAAACATGGGGTTCATACGGCGTGGCATGGGCTGAATCAATCTCCCAATAACAATTTGATGGAGCCTGTCCAGAAAGTCAAAAGTATACCTGGACTCATCTGAAAGCATTACATTAGACCATGGCGATTCCCCTAGTTTTTAAACTCTAAATTCACTTGGCGTCCGATTTGTTAACGGTGGTACAGCACGTGGTCGCCGAGATATGCAGATTAGCGGAATGTAGACGAGTTCTGATAGTCAGGTCAGTAACTTGAAGTACCCTAGCGACTTGATTAGGTGTTAGGGCTCGATTTTCTTAAAGTCTGGTTTCTTAGTATTTAATCGATCCTGGGCGTAGGACCTGCACAGGACCGATAATTAATATTGTGTCTGCAGAGACATGTTCTAAAGTCTGTAAGTCACGGACTGAGGCACATTGGACATATTGGCTTCCTCTCGCTGCGGTCTGCCAGTTTGAAGCATACCAATAGCCCTTAGGCGACTTCATGTTGTAGACGAAGCATTCCCAATCTAATCACAAATACTACATTAAAGCAATAGTAGAGACCTTAAGTGTTACTGTAGATAATGAAAATCAACAAAACAAAGCGACTTCACGACCTTTTACTGGTCAATATATAGTATGACCCATACCCACGTCATCGGAAAAATTGCATGGTCCGCGTGCAATGTTTCGGGTTCGTGGGACGTTGGATTTTGGCTCCGAACGATATAAAGATTAGCTAAAGTATGAGATTATGCACATGAAGAAAGTATTTGTAAAGAATGTGATTATGGATATGAACAAAGTATTTGTAAAATATGTTACGTATTGATATCAAGAAAGTATTTGGAAAGTATGTGATTATGGATATGAAGAAAGTATTTGTAAAGTATGTGATTATGGATATGAAGAAAGTATTTGTAAAGAATGTGATTATGGATATAAGGAAAGTATTTGTGGAGAATGTAACTATGGACATGAAGAAAGTATTTGTAAAGTATGTAACTATGGATATGAAGAAAGTATTTGTAAAGTATGTGATTATGGATATGAAGAAAGTATTTGTAAAGAATGTGATTATGGATATGAAGAAAGTATTTGTAAAGTATGTAACTATGGATATGAAGAAAGTACTTGTAAAGTATGTAACTATGGATATGAAGAAAGTATTTGTAAAGTATGTGACTATGGATATGAAGAAAGTATTTGTAAAGAATGTGATTATGGATATGAAGAAAGTATTTGTAAAGTATGTGATTATGGATATAAAGAAAGTATTTGCAAAGAATGTGATTATGGATATGAACAAAGTATTTGTAAAGTATGTGACTATGGATATGAAGAAAGTATTTGTAAAGAATGTGATTATGGATATGAAGAAAGTATTTGTAAAGTATGTAACTATGGATATGAAGAAAGTATTTGCAAAGTATGTAATTATGGATATGAAGAAAGTATTTGTAAAGTATGTAACTATGGATATGAAGAAAGTATTTGTAAGGAATACATGTAACTATGGTAATGAAGAAAGTATTTTTAAAGAATGTGATTATGCACATGAAGAAAGATTTTGTAAAGAATGTGATTATGGATATGAACAAAGTATTTGTAAAATATGTTACGTATTGATATGAAGAAAGTATTTGGAAAGTATGTGATTATGGATATGAAGAAAGTATTTGTAAAGTATGTGATTATGGATATAAGGAAAGTATTTGTAAAGTATGTAACTATGGATATGAAGAAAGTATTTGTAAAGTATGTAACTATGGATATGAAGAAAGTATTTGTAAAGTATGTGATTATGGATATGAAGAAAGTATTTGTAAAGAATGTGATTATGGATATGAAGAAAGTATTTGTAAAGTAT